CAATAGGCTTGGTCACACTATGCCAAACTGTTATGAGCAGTAGTATCACTACGTATTGTAACAGATCCGAGACTCAACAGTTGGCGAACTGACTAGCGACAGAGCGCAGGCAGCGCTGGCCTCACTCGATGAACTCAGTGCTGGAGCCGCCAAAGTAGGGTTATTTATAGTACGTTGATGAGATTTTGAGGAAGGTGCGAAGCATAACTGAATTCCAAATTGGAATTTCCAGTACTGAAAATTCTCTTGAACGTTGTGATCAAAGATTTCGATTACTCAGAGTGTTTTTAGAACTATGCCACACAGAGGGAAGCTATGGACATGATACGGAAACATATCGGAGATGTAGGCCAGAAGCTCTATGAGCATTTGGTGGCCGAGATAGAGCAGATCGACTGCAGGGCAAGATGGGGCGAGGTGGGATCATTTGTTACTCTCGAAATATCCTCCTTGTGATTGACTCGTGTAAATTCGCCATGAGCTCTTCTTAGCGTCAGTCTGGCAAATCTTGAATGATTGAATTTGCGGTCAGCATTCTACCGCGGCCGAAGTAGTTGATGCTGTGTTCGTCTCCGACCTTCAAGCCTGCTATTCCCAGCTGGACGCTTTGATCTCGACAACCAAGGAGAGACTGGATGAACTGGAAAGAGAGCAGCACACTAGGTAACGACCCATCACGGCGGGGACTCATGTTAGAAGCTCACGCAGATGCTCCAAAATGGCAGCACTTATACTGAGCACATCAGTGGCTCTAGAGGATATGCGGTCTCAGAAACTGACTATGATGGAACAGCATAAGAACGACCTGCAGAGGCGTCGAGTAGCAGCCGGCGCAGGTTGGGGTGAGAGATGATTGTTGCTCAGGCTGAGCACGAAGCCGAGTGTGAGGCCAAGGAAGAAAAGTTGAAAGAATGTCGTAGGCGCATCAGGAGTTCTCCTCATATTGATCCGGATCTCGAAGAGGCAACCACAGAGGTCTGCATGGGTTAATGAGTGATGGCATTCACTCTCAATGTTTGGCTTGTCGACAGCTGTTAATGTGATATCATCACGCGACTGATTAAGAACATTCAGATTTTTCTGGGCTATATCCGCATTGTAGCATCTGCATGAGATTTGGAGTTTTGGCTCGACCTTACAGAGCGGTTGGTTGCCTTTCAGGCGTATACGCAGCTTGACGCTATGGCTGCGGAGATAGAGAATTTTGCGAAAAAGATGTTGCACGTCCATGAGGAATATCCGAGTTCGGTAGAGGTGAGTGCCTCCAACCAGTGTTGGTCACACTGGAAAGTTACGACAACCCGACCCACCACTGCTCTTAGGCTTTTTATGAGCTCCACAAAAGCACACTTGGGAATCTCTTTGGACTGGAAGTAAGTCTACGATCCGTGTTTGGTTTGAGGGAGAGGCAGCAGCAGCGGCAGGATTGGTCTGTCTGCTGTAATTCGAACGAGAATAGAGTCCCTCACTAGCCCAGCTGGTAAACTTCGTAGGAGACTCATGCGCGGGCTACGTGAGTTGTATGCGCACTCACTTTGAGTCTTCTCTGGAAGACTCCGATAGGCGCTGAAGTATAATACACGTTGTATATGGGAATAGGAGCAATTGGATTTTTCCAATAAATCCGGCAACCCGGAATCGAACCAGGGACCATCCGATGACTATGCACTACAGTCGGACGCTCTACCAACTGAGCTATTGCCGGTCAAATTTATTACTCTTCGTAGACGGTCTAGACATTAGGCTAATGAAAATCTCTTTCGCGGAGGTATAAAACCCACAGGCATGTTATTATTCTTGAAGCAATAGTTCGAGACACGTGAGTTTCCATCCTCTCCAGTCCGTGGATCGCCAGTCCAAACTATAACATCTCAGCGACTCACAATTGCCATGCAACGACGAGCGGCCCCCAATGACGAGGATGACCATACTGGAACCGACGTCGTTACGCATCCTGCAACAAAAGAGCACGGGGATGACAATAGAGGTGAGTCCACAGAGTCGCATAGTTGAAGTATTTACGGATAGAACGAGGGTCTTGAGTCTTCTTCTTTATCATCATCTTCATCATCATTTCCATTATCATCATTTTCATCAACTAGAACCGGAGCAGCCATTGGAGCTCTGGTCGGGAGTGGCAGCAGCGAGCATGTGCGAGCTACTAGATCCACAGCACTTCGTTGAGGAACGGATTTGTCAAAGGGAAGAACTTAAGGGTGAGGGAGGGTATAGTTGATAGAAGGAAAGAAGACTTCGTGGCCTCTGACCAGAACCTGTAGATGATCCATTGGTCGATGGCTCGACCAGTGGATCTCCAGAGGAAGCCTTGGCCAAGGGAGATGGGGTCGAAGAGAGCAATGCAGACGGGAATGCTGAGATAGCTGAGGCAAGCTGCGCTGTTGTGTTTGAGCAAACAGACTCCAAGCTTTAGACTGCAAGTGAAGAAGCTCAGAATGCTTGGCCAACACGTGTGGGCGAAGAAGTGTGTTTGAATGATGTGAGTTTCTGTTGTACTTCATGGCGTTGTGGATTATCTCATCTCAGGTTCATGTCGAAATGGCCTGGCTCTGTGACTACGTGCATGCCTTCCGTGTGAAACTGATGGAGTTCTTGCAGTGTGAGAAAGAGGTCCAACTTGATGATAGCAAGAAGGCGGCGAGGATGGTGCGTTCGTACCGAACTCAATAGCTTACGGCTTCTCTAGGGCGCTGAAATGCTCAGCTACGAGCTGGACGATCGATTGCGAAAGCACAACACGAGGAAGGGCCTAGTCCGATCCGAGGTATTGAAGTTCCTCACACCACAAATTGAGATCATCGAAGATTTGCTGATAGAGTATATTCTGGTGTCCTCTCAGTGGTACGAGCCTCGGTTGAAACAAATCATGTCACATAAGAGTAAATTCAAACGACATGCGGTGGCCATAGCGAAGAAATCCGCTGGTCAAGATGATCGTTTCGATGCTTTGATGGATACTTTGATTGAGGGAGACAAAAGGTGGGATTCTGGCTTACAGCCATCTGAACAGCCATTAGTGACAACATCCTCAGTATTCGCCTACGTGTGTTGGTGGCGCACATTCTGAGGGAATTCTTACTGGTTCCTGTACACTCATATATAAACTTTTATATAAACTTCAAAGCTCAGCTGGGAAAAGCCAACATATATTCACGCACTGAACGTGCTACTAGCCATCGATGTTCGAAGCCTCATTTTTCACTGAACGCGGGTCGGATGTATCTCGTACGGGGGAGGTAACCATGAAGGTTCCCTTTTACAGACTTCGTGCTACCATCGACGAGCTCCTCCATCGTGTGTCTCAACTCAAACCAAGTGCAGAATCGAATTCCAGGAATCCAGAGGATATAATGAGTGAACTTAAAGGCCTAAGTAGACGTGCCAGAGACACCGGTAAGGGTTGAGAAGCGGTCGCACATACACACAGTTGGGGATCCTTGGGCTCAGCAAGGATGTGGTTTTATTGAATCTGGATACCTGCATGACATTCCCCACCGTCAAGAAGAGCGCCACTCACTTCTATCGAGTCATGCGCGGTCCGTTCGATAGCCTCAGGGAGAAGCCTAGTTCGGTAGTTTTAGTTTACTCGAATGGAAAATTCAAATCGCAGAAATCTCCGCTCCTCACACAGACTCAGTGCTCACTCAGTCATCCGTCCAGTGTCGCGCGAAACTCCGTTAGAAATCCATGGACGGAGATTGATGTGACATTTTGCGGCATGATTATGATTGTTGGTGATGGCATTGGCTCAGTGATAGAGAGCAATGCCAGGTGATGAATTCAAGCGAGTCTACCGCGAAGTTTCCAAGGAAATGGCAGCTCTGAGTGGTCCGTTGGTGAGTTCAGTCCAGCGTCAGCTTGGAAACAAACGAGCCTTCAGGTTGAGCAACTGATCGCCGCCAATAGCGACGTTATAAGGATACAGAAAGAGCAGAAGCACGAGGGCTACAGCGGGGCTGAGATAGAGTAACACAGACCGTCGTTTTATCCTGTATTTTTCGATGCTCATATGAACAGTGGCGAGGCTTCAGGTTTTATTCAGCGGAAATAGCAAAGCTTGACGAGGGGTTGAAGGCCAAGGCCGCTGACAGGTGGGAGTTCGTGAGATTCACTCGTAGTCTACTTTGCAGACTAGTGCAAGTGGAGGAGCTTGAGGCGGCCATGACCAACATGGTCGAGCGAGTGTTGGAAGAGTTCGAGAAACAACGGAACGAGGTGAGCCTCGCCCTGTGTTGGAGCTTACATGATACACTCCGTATCCCTGGTCAACTCAAACGCGTGGGGTACACTTGGAATTCATTGGAGTTTCACCCGTTTTACGCGTGAAACTCGGTGAAAAACGCGATATTTGTGGTATGCAGTAGTCATAAAATATGTTTTTCATCAGTGTGTCGTATATCACGAGTGGAACTCCATTGTATGATTATATTGTCTTCGGATCAAAATGTGTTCTTAGCCATGTGGAAAATTCAAAATGAATCCCCACCAGGAACATGATCATTCCAGTGCGAGATTGAAACAGTTAATGCACAGGTTTATGAAGAGGTTTGCATCGCGTATGGGCTCGGCAAGGAACATGTCGTCGCTAGAAGACAACTACGTGAAAAGGTGGCGCATGTCAATACTGAGGCGGGGGGAATGCTCTTTGCGACTGCATACAGGTGCACGAGCTCTCTGAACTTGTAACTGAACCCCTATCGAAGATCGTGGAGCTCGAGGAGTATTTGAGCAGAATAATCACTGGAGCAAACTCTGATGAGGTATGCACTCCGAAGGATCAATACATAACATGATTACAATGTGGGGCGCCTTCCCCAGTAGAGCTCAGGAGTTTTATCGCTTATTGTAGAAGCTAACATACGAATTCGGATAGGAGATTACAGAAACCAATATGAACTTCCATATCGTCACCAAGTCATGTGGTTGACCATTTGCGTATTTCCTCGCACTGCATGCTGACATCGCTGTAAGAACAATTCTGTATTCGTTTGCTGCAACTTGATTCAAGTCACTTGAACAAATTTTACGGTGCGACTGTGTGCTCAACCATCTTAGGTGGCATCGGTAGCAGGCTTCCCGCACGACAGTGTGTTGGTGAAGCACGCGGCAAGTCTTGAATTGGGAATACGAGAGAACTTAGTGAGCTTCTACAAGCTCTACGAGGTTAGTCTCGAATTTCATACTGCATTTTAGTCGATCTTGGTGGCTTGTATAGTGGCGTTAATACAACACTTACAGGGGTTGAAACCAGCGCATGAGCAGAGGTGAACATAGTTGTGAGGGAGTATCATGCGTGTGGTACCAGGTACGGTTTGGAACGCTGTCCAAGGGCATTCGAATGTGGAAACCACGCTGATGATGCTTCCAGACGATCTGAGTCGCTGCTCGCAATTCTGGGGCCTTTGTCGACTGGGAAATCGAAACCGTAACTACAGTGGTTATGTTGATGACAATATTTTTGTGCGACAGATTTCGAGAAGCTATTGAGGAGGAAGTCGCCAAGACTAAGGAGAAGCTTGGAGGAGATCTGCCGCACTACTTTCGGCAGTTTACTGACACGGTGAGGGACATTGGCGGTGTGGAAAAATACACATGTGGTCAACTACATGTGTTGGTGTTAATATGAAGAATGAAAAGAAAATTTAATTTTTGAATCTGAAAAGTTACCTCTTGTGAGTTGAACATATATGTAAAGCTTAAATGAAAATTCATTTATTTTTGATATCAAAATTTTGGTGACAATATGGAAATTCTGAGGAAATTTTCTGGGAAATTTTTTTATGGTTTTTGTATTCTTCTATTGGAGTTCGCATGTAAACTCCCCATGATTGGTGAGGAAACTCCTGAGCTCAACTGAGGAAAGCGAACATAC